GTGCATTGCTTGCCATAACACTTTACATATTTCGAAAGAGACTACACACTCTGAAGCTTTAAAAAACAAACTGCTAATCTCTTCAGTAATATATGAACCGTAGCTCTTTGTTATGTATTCTTTGTTACATTTGCTATTGATCTGTTACCTTCGTTCCCTGTTCACCTTTGCAGAAACCTTAACAACAGTTTAAAATTGTCATAAATGTATTTAAATAGAGTGCACAATATACCAAAAGACAAAATAATAAAAATCAGCCCATCAAGCACAAAGCTTCCTTTTTATAAACAAATTCGCTATAGAATTAATTGCAGCTTTATTTCAAAGCAATTTTCTGAAGATAAAAGGTTTTGCAGTGCTAGGGCAAGTAATCCCTACAAGAAAAGTCCCCATATAACACAACAAGGCCATGAAGCCCTTAATATATGCACTGTAGAAGTTCTTACAGGCCAAAATAAGTCAACTCCATTAGCACCCAGAAATGAACCAGCAAGCAATGCATGTGCTAAAGCATAGTTTTATACATAGCTTTCATATTGTTTCGTTTTTCAAATATGCTTCTGTCACCTCTTGTTAGAAGATGGCCACTATGTTCTGAGGTAGAGGAAAATTACAAATGTTATTCTTGGGAAGAATATGTAAAATGTACCGTAATTGCAGTTGTTGACCCATACCTTGTTCCAGCATGAAAGGAAACTGGAAATCATTCCTCAGAGTGCCGCCACGCTCTTTCATAGAAGCAAGGAATTGTTGAGTTGGAAGAGACCATTTAGTAATCTCGTCCAATCCCCTGCAGTGCAGGAATACACAGATGTCCCATATGAGGATCAAACCTGCAACCTTGGCATTATCAGCACCTGACGCTCTAGTTCAGCATTAGCCAATGTGCTGCCCTCCAGATGCTGTTGGGCTACAACTCCCATGATCCTTGACCACTGTCTGTGGTGGCTGGTGCTAATAAAATCCAACAATATTCGTAAGGCACTATGCCGGGCAGTCAGCTGGCTGAATCAAACTGCAGCATGTTGGATGCAGCTGTAACTTCAAATAATCACCATCAATTAAGAGAGTGGGGATTACGCAGAGAAGAGAAAAAAAACTGATCACAAGTACTAAAAGAGTCACTCATATTGCATAAGTTCTCTGTTGCAGTGTACATCTCCTTTGGAGTCTCTCCTGTGGGTTGTTGTTGTTTTTTTAAGATATCCAAGTGATTAGATAAAATAACTCGGGCAACTGGATCAGAAATATCCGATGCTTTTACAATGACAGCTCATGTTCTCATTTGCAAGTTTTAAACATGTACAGACAGAAACATGGCTGCCTTCAGAAGTGCCCTCTAGCCATCACTAAACAACCCCATTATAATATACAGATTTCTTTAAAGTGACACACATTCTGTTATATTAATAATAGAAGAAAGCTATACAAGACTTTTAGACATTGAGTAGAAGAAGCTGTTATTCATGTCCTCAATGGCGTAACCAGACTGGATGCAGTCTTGGGGCTTATAGCAATTTTATTACAAACACCTCATGATTTTAAGATCAGGTAGATGGATCGTTCTTCACAGTGAGCTGTAGCTTCCTATGACATTAACAAGCAATGTAACTTTACTTTCATCTATCCATTCAATATACAGTAAACACCTCTATTTCATGTGAAATAGAAACCCATGAAGTGCAAAGGTGTCTCCCAGTATGTTTCCGAGCACAATTCCAAGTGTTGGTGCTGACCTTTAAACCCCTAAATGGCTTTGGCCCTCAGAGCTAGATCTCAGGGTCTGGGCTGAATGACAGGGGTGGAGATGCTCCTTCAGATATACAGGGCCAAAGCCGTTTAGGGCTTTAAAGGTCAGCACCAACACTGAATGCTTGAAGAAGGAGCAGAATTGCACCCGCTGGTCATGCACCTCAGCATTTGCCTGCAAAACTTACCCATCCTTCTAGTAGCTACACAATCAGCGTTAGTGAGAAAGACCCTGCAATGTTTCATGGATCCCTTTCAATCTCCTGGCCTCTGGTGTTCACTCCATCAGTGACTCGGTTGGCCCACTGAGTCCAGGCTTTCCTTAGTATTCCCTAAAATTAATGTTGCTTATTTATAATCCACTTACAAAGCTCTCTGAGTGGTGTGCATAACCTGCAATCTACTGAGCCACAAAATGCAGGAAGACCTTCCTCCTCTACACTTAATTATGTATATATATCAAAACTAGCACATGGTATGAGACATACTGTTTCTAAAATCTACCCGGTGCAGAACACATTCATTAATTTAAGCATCTGTAAATCTATTTATCTATGGCCAACAAAATCAGAACAAGCCGTCCTTTAGTTAAGAGTAACAAACATTGGTTCTATCTATAACCTAACATCACATCACATCACACACCACCTTCTTTAACAGCTATTCAAACCACCTGCCTTTCATTTATTCCTTTTCCGTCTTCATCTCTCACTTACTCATCTCTCTCACTTATTCATCTCGCTCACTCATTCTCTACTCATCTCCCTGCCGTTTGAGCTCCCTAAATGTTCTCTGTCAGTCACTCTGACTCATAGGAGCCAACTCCTGGGGGCTGAGGTCCCTTCGTCCCCCCCAAAAAAATATGTGATGGGCATCTATTCAAATGGTGTGCAGGTGTCATGTCTTGTGATTGATTATGCAGAGTGGGGCTTACCAATATTTTATTCAAGTTGGCACCTCTGCTCTGACTTCACTTTCCATTCCATTATGCTCTCCTTCTGTCAATCATTATTAATCAATCATTATTAATCAACACATTATTCTGTAACAAGGGTCCTAGATTACATGTAACTAGGGATCCTCAAGTCAAGCAGAAGATCTGTACACATGTAACAATGTGAGACCTCTATCTCACTAATGCTATTTTGTCAAGTGAAGAGGAGGGAGTACCCAGGTATACTTGCCTTGGGCCTCAGAGGGCTAAGCCGGCTGAAGGGGACCCATCAGGGACTGGGTGCTTTCCCCCCCTTTCCCCTTTTAGTTTATAACTTTATTGTACAGTAACAAGATCCCTGCCCTGGGCCTCAGACAAGCTCAGCACAAGCCTGGGTGTAGGTATGGCTACTGATGTACGGCCAACAGTCTTGCTCCTATTTCCCCCACAGGCCAATTGACTGCATGGATGAAGCCCCTGTTGTCTTTATGGAACACTTGTGGGCCACTGCAGCTCAGAAGAATCCCCAGTAATTTTCTGAGGAATACCAGGATTTCCCAGAACACATTTTGAAAATCACGGAGATAGTGGCTGTACAGTCATCAAAGTTTCTATACTGTTGTTTGTTTCCAGGAAATACCTATATGAAGATCTCAGCATTTGTGGCTTTCCATGCTAAACGCAGCCAACCAGCCACTTAGGAAAGCTCAATATGGCAGCTTGGCATCTGCCTTGGTCTACAAGGGATGAGTAGGTGTGAGTGGATTTTCAAGTGCCTTTCAGATTGCATGGCTGCTGTGCTGTGTTTGGCCCAGGGGGGTCATACATTTTGGAAGCATGGTCTTACAAAGGCCTTGAAGACTGATTATAAACAAAAGTATCCGGGACAAAGGTGTGATAATGTTTAACACATCAGGATGAAGACCCCAGATTGTGGGAACATGCAATTTAAACTTTACCCCTAAGGCATGATCCTGGTAAGAAGAAGAAGAAGAAGAAGAAGAAGAAGAAGAAGAAGAAGAAGAGTTTGGATTTGATATCCCGCCTTTCACTCCCTTTAAGGAGTCTCAAAGCGGCTAACATTCTCCTTTCCCTTCCTCCCCCACAACAAACACTCTGTGAGGTGAGTGGGGCTGAGAGACTTCAGAGAAGCGTGACTGGCCCAAGGTCACACAGCAGCTGCAAGTGGAGGAGCGGAGACGCGAACCCAGTTCCCCAGATTATGAGACTACCGCTTTTAACCACTACACCACACTGGCGTAGTGTGGAAGTTTCCCTCGCCAAAGCTGCTTATGGCAATTTACCTCCTGGGATGAGCAGCGGCTTTGAGGGTGGGTTTTTTTAAAATTAAAGAAATTGACATGACATCACAGGTGGGGCAGGTTTAAAGCTAAGGACGACTGAACAATTCAGTCACTGCTCATTTTCCAACGTTGCAATGCAATTCCTGTCTGAACAAACATAGTAAAATATGCATCTAGATATTCCATATTTAAATATACATGGAATATGGAAAACACACATTAAAATACTTTAAAACAAAATACTCGTTTTTTTAAAACAAGCGAACAATTAATGCGGAAATGCAATGGGCTGATTAGTAAAAAGTGTCATGGATCAGAAATAGAATCACCCACATCCAAATGAACAATCCCTCCCCACAGTGTGTTCCAGTCCTAATTAGCCCTGCACCTGTTATTTCTTTAATTAAAAAAGAGATATGGAATGGAATGAGACCACAAGTTTCTTATCTCATCTCATCTGGTCCTCAGTCTCTCCTGTTCTCTCTCCCGGACTGGCTCCAGGTGTGAGGGAGCCCTGGGGTAAAATGTCCTCTAGGAGGACTCCTATATTGGTTGGCCATGCTTGACTTACTGGTAGCAGTGCTCCAAATAGTGCCACCCTAAATCTAAAATGCTCTAGAGGAGGGGTGGATGCCCCATAACCAGCAGGCCAAATCCAGCCTAGGAAACCATCGGTCCCCCAATCTTGACCTCAGTGCTGTGGTTCTCTGTCTGCTCTTTGGAACCGTGGTTGAGGGCCTAATTAAAACTACCAATTTGACGCCCAAGACCATTTTGGCCAAGCCATGTCATAGGGCTGACAAAGACGAGCCACCCTCGCCCCACAGTAACGTCATATTGAGGACAGAGTGGGAGATCAAAATGGCAGCTAGATGCAGCCATACTATGTTAGTTTTTTAAAAAATATCATATTGTAAAAAATACAAATGTGGGTCCAGGGCTAGTGTCAAGAGTGGGAGCTGCCAGGATGCTGGGGCCCTAGTGGTTACCCAAGGATGCCAGGCACTGACACTGAGTGAATAGCTTAGTAGGTTAGAGCATAGTGCTGATAACGCCAAGGCTGCAGGTTTGAGCCCCGTATGGGTCAGCTGTATATTTCTGCATTGCAAGGGGTTGGACTAGAAGATCCTCAGGGTCCTTTCCAACTCCACAATTCTTTTATTCTATGATCTATGACCAGCCAGACACTGACAACAGGCCTGCCAACACACAGACACACAAGCTGCTGACACTTCAGAGCTGGATGTTTCTATTTGTTTTCTTCCCCTAAACCTCTCTTTGCAGATCAAATGCAAAATTGGTTGTGAAAAGGGCAGGAAAGGAGAAGGCCTTTTTCCTGACTCCCCGTTGGAAGCATTTTGGGTATATGTCCACTTTCAGGCAGAACATCTATTTTCATTATAGTAATGAGTTTTTTGAAGAAATTTTGTTTCAAAGACATTCAAATTCAGCTGATGCAAAGGGAATGGATTCCGCCCCATATCAACCTTTTCGCCATCTATCCTCTTGATTCTTATTATAATGCTCAATATTTATTAGGGCAATGAAAGTCTGGTGTTTTTATATAAGCATCTATTTTTAACACACTCTGCTTGGTTGTGATTTATCAAATTTAGAAAGTGATTTCAAACAATATACAGTACAATTTGTTTCTCTTGCTCAACTCTTGTTTGTACTCTCTCAGCCTCTTTTACCACGAAGCCATTATGCATGCTCCTATGGCAGCCATTTTGTGGTATGCCACACCTCCACAGCAGCCATTTTGTGATGCGCCAGGCCCCCACAACAGCCATTTCCTGCCCCCCACTGGTGCCCATGACACTTTCCCAGAATTCCACTGGCCCAATGGTTGGTAACCCCTGATAATATCACACAATTCACAAAAAGCTCAGTTTAACAAAATATTTCAGAGCTAAGTGACATGATAACTTAGTTGAATAAAAACCCTGGTGCTTCAATTGTAAAGGCTCAGACCTACCAGAAAGCAGCCCTTTCTGCCCCCTCCCGAATAACCCAGCATGCATGTGGTTGATGAAGAAAATGCACACTGTAGCTGCTGTGCAATCTCAAGCATATTTGCTTGCTGCTGAGAGGAAGGAAATGTGTATTTTCAAAGTCTTACATTGGCTTCTGAAACAAATTTCTGGGGCCATTTAGCCCTCTCATTTAAGCACTGAAGCTTATTCTTTTACTTTTCTATCTGTAAAGCCAAACATAAACCTAGCTGAAGATATATCAATATTATATTGTATTATATATTATTTATATAGCACGATCAATATGCATGGTGCTATGTTATGCTTCCCTGGTTGGGTGAAGTCTAGCCAACACATTAGGTAAAATCTAGTTTATATTCTGCGGAATTCACAAGGATAGTAATATTGGCATCCACAAACCACAAGTCTGGTTCTCCCTTGTACTGATGTCACAAATACACTGACATTGTTTTGTATGTTCCATAGTCAACTTCTCACACAAAATTCAGATTATAGAGCCTAGTGCTTTCTCTAATTAAGCCTTGTTTTTACATGCATCTTACACAAGAGTCATGAGCTCTTTATGCTTCCCTGAACCCAACAAAACCACAGTATGACCGCGACTGAAGAACACACAACAAACTTTATATGAAGCAAACAGACCATTTATTAATAGCAACACATTGAGGGTTGTGAATCAACATCTGACATATAAAGAGTTCAGTATTCTACAGATGATCCTTAAAATATCTCTCATCAGAGACCACACAGGTCCATAAAGGTTAAAATCAACCATTTGAATCGGGCTCAATCTGACAAAATTCTAAGGGATTCAGAGCAGTCTACTCTGTTTTTCTTCCTTCATTTCTTCCTACAGTATAGTAGCCTGCAGACATAGGTGTTGAGAGATGCCAGCAGAAACTGAATGATATCTTCAATCGTATAATTCAATTCATTGGCACCTCAAACAGGAACAGTCCACACTACATTTTTGTTGCAGGTCTCATCCCACTGATTTGTTTTTAAGGTCACTTCCAGGTTGTTTGTTTATTGGGTATTCATCAGAATCAGTGCCGGATTTACATATAAGCTAAACAGGCTATAGCTTAGGGTCCCACTCTCTTGGGGGGCCCCCCAAAAAAATAAAGAAAAAACAACCTAGATGTACATTTCCAAAATATAAGATAAAAAACAAATAAAATAAAACCTACCTACAGTTAGCGCTTAATAATTATTTCAATATTAATATACTTCTTCTTAATTGTATTTCACTATTAATATACCTCTTCTTACAGTGGTGCCTCGCAAGACGAAATTAATTCATTCTGCGAGTTTTTTCGTCTTGCGAATTTTTCGTCTTGCGAAGCACGGTTTCCCAAAGTCTTCAAAATCACCAAAGTCTTCAAAAACCTCAAAAAAGGCTACCACACCGCGTGCTATGAGTTGCTCCTCGAAGTCACCCTGGGTATTAACGGTTTTAAGAAAAAGGAAACAAACTTGCAAGACGTTTTCGTTTTTTGTCTTGCGAAGCAAGCCCATAGGGAAATTCGTCTTGTGAAGCAACTCAAAAAACGAAAAACTCTTTCGTCTTGCGAGTTTTTCGTCTTGCAAGGCATTCGTCTTGCGAGGTACCACTGTAATTGTATTCCAGTTCAACCATTCCTTTGATAAAACACATATTTTGTTATGTGCAAATGGCTTTAGATACCTATTAGGCCCATAAATTACCATACAGCATACATTCAACACACACACACACACACACACACACACAAAAACCAGCAACAATTTGTTGCTGACAAAGGACAGCTGGACATATAAATGGCCCCATTACCTTCAGTAGCTTAGGGCGTCATCAAACCTAAATCTAGCCCTGATCAGAATTGGTTTGCATAAAACTTGCATGGAGGTTACATGATGTCTGCTCTTTATTGAGGGTTCATTCTTATTTGTTTGTTGGGGAGGTTAGCCACAGGACCAGAACAAGACATTTTGGCATCTGAGGTGAACTACAAAATGGTGTCCCACCAGGGGAAAAGGAGTGAGTGAAGATGAAGATCTACACTGAGAATTGCTACCCTGTGGATCTTGCCGCCTGATGAGGTCACCTCACATTGCCTTATGGCCCTGGTTAGACAATGCCAATGATTTAATGATCATTTGTCCTGATTTGTTTGCATGGTAGCTAGACTGCTTCCTGTCAATTGCTCATTATCCCATGCTTTTGAGTGTTTTCCCCCCATCAGTTTCCTTACCATGAAAGTCTAGTATTTTTTAGAGTGGGTTTGTTGTACCAGAACGTTTTGACCATGCTTAGACTTAACTGTGATTAAGTGGTATGCAAATTGTTGAAATAAGAAGAAATAAACAATCTGCTTTAGTTGCACAAACCTCAATGTGTCAGTATGCAGTTGAATCCCTTCCTCAAAATAGCAAGACTCTGGAGGCAGCCTAAGTTTATTATTGGAAAACACTGAAACTTAATGACGAGTGAGATATCACACAGGATAACAGTTAATAGATTCGGAGGTAAGCAATAATTGCATTTTACCTCCTTACTGTATTTGCGTGTTCAGACCTTTAAACCTCCCCTTTAAATAAATTCAGACAAGACTCAAATTTTGGTTTGGTTTTTGGCAGAATTTAGGCCACAACTTTATTGATTACAGCAAGTGAGTGGTTGCATAGACTCTGGTTCCTACTCCCTGCACCGCTGCAGGTAGCGCTGACCCAGGGCACCAGCATAGGTCAGCCTAGGGTGAACACCTGGATAGGCGGAAAGCCGGGAACAGGCTATGTCCACCACCCAGATGTCCCCCTGGACTCAGGAACGGGCACAACCCCCTCACAGGGTTGACCAAACCATTGAGTCCCTGGATTCCTTTTACGGAATAGCCTTCACATAGGGATGGCGAGAGCATTCTCCCATCCCTATCACCTGAACCAGAGCCTATCCGCAACCTTACAAGTTGTGACGATTTGCTACATGGCAGGTGAAACCCAAATGGCAACAGCCAATCAGCCAAATGGGGAAAATTCCTGCCGTGCCCCCGTCCCAAGGACAGACAACACATGATGGCATAGCAAGGTCAAGCGCACAGCCCTAAATATAGGGAGAGGTGGGTGGGTGTTCCGATGCATGCACTGAAAGAGGATGCTCTGGGTCACGTACATAGGTCTATATAGGTTCCTTAATCCACTTAGCCTGTGTCCCATTAGCCTGATTAAACCCAGCATCAAGGGACCTACCAATTGGGTGCCGTGGCTATTCAATCAAACCCACCCACAACACAGGGTTTGGTTGCCAGGTCTCACCGCAACACGTGCCCTCTTTAAGGGAGGACCCAGTTTATACAATGCTTTTGAGGTGGACCTCACAAAGCAGTTTATATAAGATTATAACAATTTTGTTTTAAAAGGGTATTACTGATAGGTTAAGATGGTCCTCGGTGCCCCTGTGGTGGCAGTTGTGGGGCGGGGGGGGGAGGTGCCACGATCTTATAATATTTTGAATTACTCATTGCCAGTACATTTTTGAACACTTTCACTAGATATACAAACTGCTGAAGAAGAAGAAGAAAGAAAACCTGCATCTCCAGTAGCTGGCTGGGTTTGTTCCACATTATTTTATGAGCCTAAAAAGCAGGCACCCCCAAACTCGGCCCTCCATATGTTTTGGGACTACAACTCCCATCATCCCTAGGTAACAGGACCAGTGGTCAAGGATGATGGGAATTGTAGTCCCAAAACATTTGGAGGGCCAAGTACCCAGGACCAGCCCAAGACATTTTGGCACCTGAGGTGGACCCCCAAATTTCAGGTAAGAAGGATGAGGGAAGATCTATATCAGGAATAAAGGGGTGGGGGAGAAAGCCTGACATTGGGATCTGCTGTCCTTGTGAATCCTTCCATCTGAGGTGGTCACCTCACCTTGGCTCATGGGTGGGACGGCCCTACAAGCATCTAGTATTGCTTAATTCTTTTTAAAAAAGTATATTTCTAGTTTACACTTCTTGGTTTTTTATGGTACAGAAGCCCAAGCAATTTCCAACCATCTTATGAGATTCTTATATTTAGATATCCTCTCTTTCTTCTGTGGGACTTGATTCCT